TATACTTAGCTTCTTTGCTTTTTAACCAGAAGCAGAAAAGAATATTTTCAAAGAAATTTTGATTTTTCACTATATAATCAATAGAGCCCCTCCCCCCCCCTTTTGACAAGGATCCTTGACCCTGGGGCCATGAAATTCACAATTTTAGAAGAGGCATCCTTGCATATCATAACAATGTACTTAGTTTGTTTAAATAGTACCCAGGGGCAGAGAAGAAGATTTTCAAAGAAATAATTCACCTTCACTGTAGGAGCTATATAGCCCCACCCTAGCACAAGAACCCCTGTCCCTGGGGCCATGAATTTCACAATTTTGGAAGAGGTGTCCTTGCTTATCATAATAATGTACTTAGTTTGTTTAAATAATACCCAGAAGCAGAGAAGAAGATTTTTAAAGCATTAATGCATTTTCACTATATAATAAATAGAGCCCTGCCCTAACATCAGAACCCCTGACCCAGGGGCCATGAAATTCACAATTTTGGTAGAGTTACTCTTGCTTATCATAACTATGTATTTAATTTGTTTAAATAATACCCAGGAGTAGAGAAGAAGATTTTCAAAGAAATAATGCACTTTCACTATATGATTTATATAGCCCCCCCCCCCCCAGCACCAGAACCCCTTACCCTGGGGCTATGAATTTCACAATTTTGGTAGAGTCACTCTTGCTTATCATAACTTTGTATTTAATTTGTTTCAATAATACCAAGGAGTAGAGAAGAAGATTTTTAAAGAAATAATGCACTTTCACTATATGATCTATATACCCCCCCCCCCCCCAGCACCAGAACCCTTGACCCTGGGGCCATGAATTTCACAATTTTGGTAGAGTCACCCTTGCTGATCATAACTCTGTATCTAATTTGTTTAAATAATACCCGGGAGTAGAGAAGAAGATTTTCAAAGAAATAATGCACATTCACTATACGATCTATATAGCCCCACCCTAGCACCAGAACCCCTGACCCTGGGGCCATGAATTTCACAATTTTGGTAGAGTCACCCTTGCGTATCATAACTATGTATTCAATTTGTTTCAATAATACCCAGGAGTAGAGAAGAAGATTTTCAAAGAAATAATGCACTTTCACTATATGATCTATATAGCCCCGCCCTAGCACCAGAACCCCTGACCCTGGGGCCATGAATTTCACAATTTTGGTAGAGGGCTCAATGCTTATTACAATCATGTCAACAGTTTGACTGCTTGATGTCCAGGAGTAAAGAAGAAGATTTTTAAAGATTGCATTAATTTTGATGGTTTTAGCCCCACCCCTCAGGGCCCAGGGGGGCAGGGACCATGAAATTCACAAATTTTGTTCCCCTTCACACATAGATGCCATATGCAAAAATTGGCTGAAATTGGTTCAGCGGTTTCAGAGAAGAAGCTGAAAATGTTCAAATGTTAACACACGACGCACGACGGACGACGCACGACGACGGACGAAAACAGATAGCAATAGGTCACCTGAGTGACTCAGGTGACCTAAAAATAAGAAATAAATAAATAAATAATAATAAAAAAATAATATATAATTTTTTTTATAATGAAATAGTTTAATTCTAAATACATGTAACTTTTCCCGTCGATTTTGCCATTACATCTACTAAGGGCAGCCCAGTCCTCCGGACTGCACCAAGCTTTCAAATTGGAGACAAGTCTTCCATCGTTATCAACTGGGCCACGGTACAGGGTAAAGAAATCAATTACTCTCCGAAGTCTTTTTTTTTTTTTAAATTATTCTGTAATTTTAAAAGCAATTATTTTGAGAATTCATTTTTTTTTTCACTACACCATTTTATAATCTAGTATATTACATCCATTTTATACATTTGTATGTACTGATCTTTTGAGTTCTGTTAGACACTGACAGAAATTTATTAATGATATGAAAATTTTGGTCGCTTCAGACCTTTGATAGGTCAATTTCTAATTTTATCCCTAACTACAGTGACAGAAAAGACACCAAATAAGTACTATTTTTGTATAACTCTCATTTTCTTATAATCTTTTTTGCACTAAAACAGATTCGTTTTTAACCTTTCATGTAAAGTTTCCCTATGCATCTTACATTTGGAACGTGGGACAGAAGATATATTGAATAAAGAAAATCCATTAAAAAGTGATTCAATGTGGAATATATCCATTAATCAGTATAAATAGGTTACGAAGAGCACTTTCCTCATAACAATAAGCAAACTTAGTTGCTGTAGCCAAGGTCTCGTGAATTGTTTTTCCAATATCAGCTTTTTTATGATATCCTCTGTCTACATAGAATAGGAATGGCGTTAACATCCGTTTATGACGATAATGGAATTAATTTAGACACCATTTGATAATAAAAGCAACACAACTTTTGTTGTAATTTGCTTGTAGATTTATTCACATATGTAACATGATATGCATAAGAATCAATATTTGGGAAAGTTTTTAAAACATACCTTGTCCAACATTAAAAAAAAACTTTCAGATCTCTCAAAACCCCGAAATGCTAAAAACGCAATGGTGACATGCCTGTTCTCGGTTTACAAATTTTCAAAGTGCTACATATACTCCTTCTACAGTTTTAATGAAACGCTGTACACGAGTAGATTACATCAAGCTTCACATGAACTTGCATTGGTTTTAAAATATCGATGCTTTTTCAATGGTAATGAAAATACCAATTTCTGTGAAATTCTTCAAAACTCTACCCCTTCTACACTCTACAAATAAATCCATGATAGACAAGTCTGCATGTATATTATTGTTTGATGAACGGTAGTGCCGCGGTTATGAAAATATAAATTTTGTGAAATTCTTAATCTACTTTTGTACCGTTTTAAAGTTTAATCTTTAAAATTCTGGGTGAAGATTTTGAAAGATTATTCTTTTAAAAAACCACAGCAATATCGTTCAAAGGAATTAAAATTCGGTGCACAGATTTATTTATATTGATGTACATAATTAGTTTACTTGTGTGCAATGTTTTGGACTATAACTGTAGAATGAGTAGCAATTGAAGAATTTCACATTTTATTCTTTTTGTAGTCAATCCTGGCAAAATATTGAAAACCGATCTACAGCAGTAATACATGTATCATTGTGTATTCTTCTTGTACCAATAGTTTTATTAAAATCAGACCAATACCGAAGGAGTAGCGTTTTTTTTTTTAGTCAACAGATTATTCTAGTAGTATTGGCAACACAGTTTAATGAAATTGATATACCGATATATATAAACGTATACATCATGATCTCGTCTACTTGTGAATCTATTTTTAGTTTAAATTAAAATCAGACCAAATATGTAGGAAGAGTACTATAGTAGCAATTACAGATGAATAGCAGTTTGACAGACAGCTAGTCAGAAGTCGTCTAGTCTCTGGCTAGTAGAGCTAAAACTCATGTTTTCTTGACAGAAATGTACATTTCAGAAGAGGTAAAGGAATCTTTAAATCATCAAAGATGGACCGGCATTGGTCATCCTAAGTTTACCCATAAGCAATAAAATGCCATGAAAGCAAAAATTTAGCTATGAAAGGTCAAAGGAATCCAATTTAACTTGTATCATAGGTATAGAAATCAATGGCATACCATTAATAATGAGAACCGTCGATCAGTTATCAAATATTTAATTAAGAAAATATTCATTTCCTTACAAATTAACGGGGGTACATTTGGTGCGATCGCATCCTCCTTAAAAAAAGAACAATTGATCATGTTAGAGCACATGTTAAAAACAAAATTGGATGAATGGATTGTTATATAATTTTGGATTTATTTTGGTGGTAAATGATGCATACTGTATAGGTTATCAATTCTACTGGTTGTAACGTTTTTCTTTCCTCTGACACGATCACAGTTTGATGAATGCGTGGAATTGGTGTAAAAAGAAAAATAATTTCAAACCACTTATATTGGATCCGCGGCACTATTCAAATAGCGTGACTGGTTTGACGATAAATGCCGAATAAATTCCCTGTTTGGTTTCCCGGTAAATGGTGTCGTACTACATGTATCCACAAAGTTGTTATACCAATTCAAAACTGACTAGTATCAACCAAAATTGTTCTTTCCGAAGGGTTATTTAAGGAGTGTTTTTAAGTTTTGTGTGAGTTATTGGTGTGTAAATCACACAGACTTCTCACGTAGGCATATTTCATGAACCGCGCTAGCGCTTCATGAAAAATATGCCTACTTGCAAGTCTGTGTGATTTACAAACCAATAATTCACACTAAACTTAAAAACATTCCTTATATTTACATTTTACAAGTTTAAAAGCACCAGTAATATACCCAATATTTGAATTTCTCGCTGCTCTATGTCGTTACATTTTTATTTACGTCTCTGTAGCCTCACTGTGACGTCATTTTAGCGCGAGTTTCACCTTGTATATTTCTACGCGTGAGTATACACAAAAATGACTTTCAAATCGATTGCACAGTTGGTCTAGTAGAAAAACACAGCAAATGTAAATATTTATAAAACATCACCGCAAAAGTTATTGAGTCAGTGCATTAATTATGTCGACGAAATAAATATTATTCCGTATCTAAAGGAAGTCCGACAGTTACTAGAATAAATAAAATTAAAAAAAGGAAAACTTGGGTTACTCAAAATGTTGATAAAATCAGGTGACAAGTATCCGGGGTAATATTAGTTACGCAAGGGTAATCAACACCCACAAACCTTGTGTTTTATCTAGATTTGGCTAATTCAAAGGCTATTTAACGATAATAGTCATTATCTGCAGATTTGGTTAAGACAAATAAACTTCATTGTTCATCTGTTTAATGTAATGTTGCTACAATGCATTGTTTATTTAATATGTGAAATGCATCAGCATACACCAAAATGATACACCTTTATGAATAAAAAGTTCTGGCTGAGAACAGAGACTACCCTTCTTTGCCCCTCGTTCGCAACACCTATCCAGAAACTTGGCTACGACCCTGGAAATGTACTTCAAGCCATACACAGAAAAATATGCATAACATTTAAAAAAAAATCTTACCTCCAAACTCTTTGGACTTTCGGGAAATTGTGAAGAGGATAAGACCGTAGGCTATTATCATTAAAGTCAGAGGCAGAAAAAACTGGATGAGCATACAGAAGATGTTGTAGAGTTTCTTGTAGGCTGGACTGGGATACCCCAGAATGTCTACACACTGGTAAAAGTCTTCTTTAAAAGGGCCTCTGTGAACGCTAAACAGCAAAGCCTTAACAAAAATAAATAATGAATGGTATCATTGCCAAAAAAAAAAAACCCAACAACAAACAAACAAACATTGACAGGCTGTACGACTTATAGTATTACACAGTCCAGTTTTCAACTGCTGAGAGAATAATCGCATATTTCCTAAATTACTCATACTGTCATTTTCCGTTTTAGATTGAAAAACCACCAAAAAGATAGCTGGTTATTTTATATCTCATAAAGAATTTTTGTACATTACATCGACATAACTGGTACTCTGTGTCTCAAGTTCCAGATGAAGCTTTGTATTCACCCGACTAGGACTAAGACTAAGTATTTGATGGACGTAAGAGGTGTTAGCAATTTGTTTAAAGTGAAAAAGTGAAAATTTACCGGTGATTGCTCATTATATTTTTTAATGAATGAAACTAAGGCGCAGCCTAAAAAAGCATCAATATTTTTTTATTACATTGAAAAAATAATTAAAAATTTTCTAAGTATTTCTCTACTGAAAAGTATGGATGCATTATTTGTCCATTTTTTCTACACTGGCTATAGGTCAAGATCATGACACACCCAAAGGTCATAAACAATCTTTGTGTGAAGTGGAAACTCCCAACATCCCAACATTATTTTCCATAAGAAAGATACATACGGACCGGACACGAATTATGAACTTTTTCTGTCTGTGACCTTGAACTTGCACAAATGACCTTGGGTCAAGGTCTTGACACATTCTCAGGTCATAAGCAATCTTTGTGTAAAATGAGAACTCACCAAGTTCATCCACAAGAAAGATATGGACCGGACACAAATTATGAACTTTTTCTTTCAGTGACCTTGAACTTGCACAAATGACCTTGGGTCATGTTCATGTCACACCCTCAGGTCATGAACAATCTTTGTGTAAAGTAGTAGATTCATATGTTCTACCGTAAGAAAGATACTGAACGGACACATTTGCACAGACAGGCAGACAGAAAGGATGATTCCTATATATCCCCCAAAACTTCGTTTGCGGGGGTATAAATATGCTTAATTAAATTTAAAACGTATGTACTGGGTGGAAGTAAACATAAAATTTAAAACGTTATCATACTGTAATTTTTTCACAGTTTATTCATAATTTACACCCTGAAGAAACGTTATAAATGTCCAGTGCAGGTCTAAATTTGCAGCCCTAATGGGCATTTGATGGCGTCCGAACATGAGTGAAATACATCATGTACATATATTCCTGATGAGACGTGAAGCCAACAAACAATCAACCACCCAACCAAGAATTTAATCTGAATAAAATCCATATAAAGATCTTTGAGGTTTGGTTGGTTTAATCTTGTTTTTAGTTCATCCATTTTCTTCCAATTATGTTTTTTACTGCACAAAAATATACAACTAATTGTCCTCTCAGATAAATAATTTGCTAAATCCGATACGTCTTTGTGATCACATGATACTGTTCACTGTGTAACGAGAAAAAAAGTGTATGGATGATTTTCTTGCGGAATTGGTGTACATGTATCGATATTTTTTTCCCTGTGACTATTCTTAAAACAATGCTACCTGTGAAAGCAGGACTATATAAAGCTTTGAAATAAGTCAAATTACATGGCTCTGTCTGAACACAATGCTTAAATTTATGGAACAATATTTCATAGTAGGAGATTGGTCTCAAACTGTCAATTCTTTGAGAGGAGGAACTAATCTCAGACAGTCCTCGATCATTTTTTTTTTAACGAATCTCAGACCTACATGTATTTGTACGGTCCTCGGTTAATTCACAAATTCACATAATGGGTACATGTAGTTGTCGGCCTTTTGAAGTCAATTGCAAAACATACGTGCACATTTGACAGAAAGAGTATCAAAGTAATTCAGTTAAAGGGGGAAAAACAAATGAACAATTTTAGAACGATCGATGCCGACAGTTAAATTAAAAATTCAATCATACCAACCCATTTTTATGCCCCCGTAATCGAAATATCGGATGCATATAGCTTTTGTTCTGTCCGTCTGTCCATTAATCTGTTTGTCCACAAAAACTTGAACCTTGCCCATAAACATTTGGATGGTTGGAGCTAGGATTTTCATATTAAACATTATTCCTTGTGACGAGACCTTTCTTTAGATACCAACATATTTGACCTTGGACATACTTTTGCAAATTTTTACCAAAATTTAACCTTGCCCATTACATTTACACGATTGGTGCTAGGGCTTTTATATTTCACATGTGTATTCCACTTGACCAGAGCTTACCTTGGGTACCAACGATTTCGACCTTGATGTTTGACCTACTTCTGAAAACTTTAACTTTGCCAATAACTTTTGAACGGTTGGTGCTAGGACTTTTATATTTCACATGTGTATTCCACGTGACCAGGCCTTTCTTTGGGTACGAACAATTTTTTACCTTTGACTTTGACCTAGGAGTTTGACTTACTTCTGAAAAACTTTAACCTTGGCCATTCTTTTCTGCGTGGTTGGTGTTAGGGATTTTACAGGTGTATTCTTGTGACAAGACCTTTCTTTGGGAACCAATATTTTTTAACTGTTGACCTTGGCGTTTGATTTACATTTGAAAACGTTTACCTTGACCTTGAACTGCCAAAGAGGGTCATCAGTATTTCACAAACACATCTTTAATATTAAATTTATGTCGGTATACCTTTAAGTTTAATCAATACAAAAACCTGTTTTATGCAAATTACAGACGTAAATGATGAACAAGTTGAATTATTTGAAGATAAATTACTCTATGGTACTAAACGAATTAATCTTACACTAGTGTATTCTAGAATTATAACCTCCTGCAGGGGTATTTTAGTGAAATCACAGTAGCAGTTATTTTATTCTTGGATAATCGGATTACACCAGATATCTTCGCCAATTCAAATCCTAATTTGTAACCATAAATACAATATATCGTGTACGATGAAAAATCGCGACTTCCATTCACACACCTGTCATCTTAGGAACTTGTCTTCTTGTCCCCTGGCAAAAAAAATCAAATACATGTTCATCATCGTTCTATTAATGGATTTCACTAGAGACGTGTCGTATGCCAGCATCCTCTAAACTTACAGCACTCCGAGGCACTATTAATTCGTTCATCGTGATAGAATAGATCTTTTCCTTGTCAATCTTGCCTAATGCGTTAATCAATATTCTGGGGGTTAAAGTTGTCCATCTGCTCATTTTTACTTACAATTCGCCATGACAGTATCTTGTCAGTTGACTTCATGTATGGCTTTTTGTCTTTCTCTCTGTTTTTTAGATTAGGGTTCGCGGAACGGAGAACCCCCATCGATTTACAAGGAATATGAAACGTGCTTTAGCGGTTCGAAATAAGGATGGAAAAAAATGTTGTTAATGATTATTTCCATATTAAGTTAATTGGAAGAATACAGCAGTTTGCTCTTTCCAGTTGTCCTACGAAATGGATCTCAGATAAAAATGCACTCTTTTTAAAGAATGTAGTGGACACCATTGTGATTGATAAAACATCATATACAATTATGCTAGTGATAGGTTCTTTACTTAAAGAGAAGCAGGTTTTTCTATATACTTTTGTTTATGTAACTTTCTAAATAACGCAACTAGGTCATACATACAGGAAAAAAATTGGAGAGAAAAAAATGAAATTTTATAGTCTATAACTACACTATTTGACATAATATCGAAATGAATGATACGGAAATTCTTCATAAGTAGGTGGCCGATCACGGTAACCTAGTGGTAAGGCGTTCGTTTCATGATCAGGAGGTCCGGGTTTGATTCTCGTTCGCCGTGCCGCGTCAAACCTAGGACGCAAACATAGGAGGTGACTGTTCCTTCGCCAAGCGTCTGGCTGGTCTTTTGAATGAGACCTTAAAAACCGAGGTCCACGGTCAGGTAGGCGTTGGCAAGATAAAAGAACCCTCGCTGCCCAACGGTCCTTAGTGTCGAGTACAGGTCTAAATTTCAAGACCTTCACCGGTATATATGAGTAAATAATTCTCGAATGGGACGTCAAACACCATTCAATCAATCAATCAGTCAGAATTAGGTGATTTAAAGTTTACACATGACATTGTACAATAGTTTTTAAGATTTTAATATGACAAGATTAAATCTGTCTGAACGGAGAGTACGGTTATTTCCAGCAGGGGTATATATTATTAAGCACACATCATTCCAGAGTACTTTGCAGGTAATTTGCGTCATTTATAATGTTAAATGTATGAAAGATATAGTTTGTATTTTATGATAAATTACTACCTGGTGTAAAGTAAAATAAAAATCAAACTAAAAATCCCATATATGTGCGCAAAATATTTTTCTTCGCTTCTGAAGAGAAAGATATTATAGTCCTTGTTATTTTGAATCAGAAAAAGTTTGTTCGTTAATAATCAAGAATTAATTTGTACTTGAATGGTAAGAGGAAAGTTACATGGTTCGTGAGGTTTTCAACATCCATGTACATTTCTATATCATCTATGCAAAAATATTGAGATGGTGTAACTACAATGTATCAACCAGATTTTCACACTTCCCGATATTTCTTTTACAATGAAATATGAAGATTACGAACAGTATTCAAAGGAATACAACATCCTACATGGACTTCTCTTCCTATCGCTTGCTGGTTGAAGACACTAATAAAAGTACTGACATATTGAAATACTGAACTGAAACGGGCTAATTTGATACTGCAAATGTATATAGATACCATGTTCCTCTCAACCGGTCAAAAGCATGAAATCAAAAAGATGGCACAACTGTAGCAGAAAGAAAAGCAGAAACAGAACACAATAATCTCCCCGATGATAATAGAATCACATCTGACTATTGGACAGGCTAACAAAGCAAGTCTGTTTTAATTTCTGGCGAGACATTTTATTTCCGAAAACTGCCAGACAGACCTCCCTCTCAGAAACAAACGTTAATTTCTTCATATCATGCTCTAGTAAACCTTATCAAAATACAATGTCAGTTCGTTATATTCACGGATCCTTTCCAATTGAAACATGTATCGTATAC